CACTTGCTGTAACGTGAAAACACTTGTTGTGACGTGAAAATACTTGTTGTAACGTGAAAACACTTGTTGTGACGTGAAAACACTTGCTGTAACGTGAAAACACTTGTTGTGACGTGAAAACACTTGCTGTAACGTGAAAACACTTGTTGTGACGTATAATTTACAGAATTGATGACAGGTTGTTTCTTTTTATTTTGTTGTTCCTTTTTGTATTTCTAGTTTTTTTTCGCTTTGTTTTTTATTTTTGTATTTTTTGAATGTTTTCTTTTTGCTTCAAAAATTCATGGGGCTTGAAAAAAAACTGTTCGGAATTTATTATAACTGAAGGAAATTAATTTTGTTTAATTTTGAAATGAATTAAATTAACTTATCTAAAATAACGGAAAAATGTCGCTCTTCTGTTTTCAATTTATAAAATACTGTACCATTTTTAAAATGACATTTTTCTTGAAAACTTTTGAAAAGTTTGAAAACAAATTAACAAATTACAGCAGATTATTCAAATGATCAAATATCATTTAACTATTGTTTATAATAATTGTATTGTGAAAACTGTGAAATATATCATTATAATGAATAAATAAACAAAAAAAAGTGTATTATTATTTAGATAAAAAATGAATTATAATAATGCAAAAAACAGAAAACAAACGAACAAAAAAAAAGAAAATATAGCATTGAGCAATAAAATACTTACAAACTTTTCTGTATGGCAATAAATTATTATTAATAAATGACGATAAATTGATAGTAGTTTGATAATTCATTAATTTAAAATTAAAATTCCATAATAAGGTGCTCATAAACATTTTTAGATAGCAATAAACTGTTACCAGCAAATAGCAATAAATTGGTAGTAATCAAATCATTTATTAATTTAAATTTGAAGTTTGACAATATAACACCTGTACAATTCTCGATATAGGGAAAAACTATTATCTGCAAATGATAATTAAATTAGTAGCAATAAAATAGTTTGTCAATTTTAGTTTAAAATTTGATGACATTCGTTTGATGTGTATTGCCGTTGATGTTGGAAATTATATTTAAAATGATTAAATTATTACAAAATATTTAGAAAAAAAGTTACGAAGAGAGAAATGGAAAAAAGAAACTCACACTTAACGTCCACACATTATTATATATGTGTAGGTAATTAAGAAATTGTGGCGCTTTTTTTAATTTTGCGCATTTTTTCTTCTGTCTTTTCATACAGCAAGAAAAATTTTCTCATCGCTTCTACTCGATTCATCGGTTTCTCTCAGTCCATTAATATTTTTTACCTGAAAAATTTGTTAAATTTCGAACAGTAAATTTTGCAAATTATTTGATTTTTACTTTTGTATAGATCTAAATAACACTTCACTTCACTTCAAATTGAATGAAATCACTGTTCGAAATTATCGAAATATCATTTCCTCTTTTTTTTGCATCATTGATAAACAATGAAATGATCTTTCAATAATTTATTTAATACATCTATTAATTGTACCTGTTAATTTAATATGCAATTAATTAGGTATTTATTGTAGAGGAAGAAATATGATCACCCATTAACTATTGAATATGCTTATCAACTGATCAAATTTTTTTAGGTTAAAATTATTTTCTTTTGTTGTCTTTTTTTTAAAGTTATTTTATTTTGATTTTTTTCCTCGCATTTACTTCTCAGTCATTTAAACTAACAAAAAAAAGGAAAAAAAAGCATCAATCTGAATTTAATTTTTAATTTACTAATTATTGTATCAAAATTTGATCAAATTTCTTTATCTTCTTATTTTCATTTGAATAATTAATCTTAATGTCTAATAAATTCCTTTTATTTTATTTGCAATATTTATTCAATCATTAATGAATGAAATTTCCGCAATGAATAGTATATTGATTATGCAATTTTATTGAATTTTAAATTAATTTCGAATGTTTATTAGCAATTAAACTCTTACCTCATAACATTTAACATAGCAACAAAGTGTTGTTAATGCAATGGCCATCAAGCAAAATGTGACAATGAAGAGAAGAATTGCCCAACGAAATATTGTCAACAGTTCGTTGACACTATTACTCACACTGCTTAACATTAAATTGACATTTTCAACTGTCTAAAGAGAAGAAAAAAATGAAACAAAGTTCATTTAAATTAATTGCAAACAAGAAATGAAACTATGTGGAATATTAAATTTGATTCAATTTTACTCTCAAACTAACTATTACAATTTAACAATGATAATAATAGTAATTTAATTTTAATCGAATAATTCTCAATGTTCAATTAAATTATGATATTTATAATAAATTAAGATTAATTTTTGCATTTATTAAGAACTCATCATAACTGCTACTAAATTCCATTTTTTTAAAAAATTTTCATCAATTTTTAATTTTTTATTAGAAATTTTGTCAATTTTTTCATTTCCTTCTCTGTAGAAACTATTATTTACAAATAATTTGCTTTTTTTACTCTCGATTTCTCATTCTATTCTGTTGTATCAATATTTCCGTCTTCTCACAATCTTTAATCTTTTTTCTTTTACTATTGTTTTAATCTATTCGCTGAAATCCTCAGCGTTTGTATCGTTCATTGATTTAAAAAGATCATTATTTCCGATCAAAAATTAAATTTCTAAAATCCTTTCATATATCTTAGGATAAGAAAAAAATAGATGGCGGGAGTAAGGGAAAAATGATAAGAAAAGAGAGAAAGAAACAAAAGTAAAATAGTGTTCAAGTCATTTTAATGAGATAAAATCTTGATAAGATGTTACAACTAATATGAATTGGTTTTTTTTTTCGAAATCCACCTGATTTAATTTTCAGCTGAATCCGGTTTTCGTATTTTCTGAAATAAAATTGGAATTGTTCGATCCGGCTTACCTTATCCAATGACATAGCTGAGGAATATTTTTGTTCAAGAAATCTTCATCAGATTATTTCATTCCAAAGGCAGTATTCAACAAAAATTGCTTTTTTCTCCTTTTTTTCCGCTTAAAAAAAAATTCTATAATAATTTCATAAATTGATAAAAATGCTAAGATAGAGTGATAAGCAATATATTTATCATGATAACGTTTTTTTTCTCGCGTGATTACGTTTAAATATATTGATTAACATGAAATATGTGATAGAGAATTTTATTGGTTATACATATAAAGCTATTATTTGAAAATTTGTTTGCCATTTCAAAAAAATTAAAAAATGTTTCGTAACAAAATTTTTAACAATCAAATTAGACAACAAATTATTTTGCACAACAAATCACAAAACAAAAGACAATAGCAACAAAGTAATGTTATTTATTTTGACGAAAAAAAATTCTTTTGATAAATTTAAAATTTGCAAATTTTTCAAAAGTAAGACATTTGAAAATTGGCAAAAATAAATAATTGATAATTTTTAATTTCATTTGAAAGGAAGTGCTTGTTTAATTAAAAAAATTTTGTTCAAACTTTTGGCAAAACTTTTTTTTGAACAACTTTTAAAAATTTATAAGAATGTTTCATCAAAAAAAGGGCAAAGTGTCTCTCAATAATTAAAAATAAATTTCAAAGAGTGAAATTTAAATAATGGAAAAAAGTTAATAAAACAGTTTGTTATCAAATTTAGCATCACTGATTGGAAGAATTCATGAATCATTACATTTACTTTTCCATTTCTTTTCTTTTTATCTTTTTTTTTTGTCACAGTTTTATAACTACGGATATGAAACGTGTTCGTTTTATTGTTCATAAAACAAAATAAAATAAAAAAAAAACTATCATTTGAAGTTTTTTTTTCTCTTACACAGAATGATTTGTTACACTGATAACATCAGATCACTATCATTTCTCACTATGTGTTATGTGCAGTACAACAAAAAACTCAAATTATATATCACATTATTTAATTTTATAGTATACATTTACGGAAATGATTAATACAATAGGAAAAGGATTAGATTTTATCAATAATCAAATCACATGTCATATATACCAACATCTAATTATTAATTTAATCATTTAGTTATTTTTCACTTAATAATATCATTTCCTAGTACTCAATAATTATTTATTATTTAATAATATCATTTCCTAGTACTCAATAATCATTTATTGTTTAATAATATTATTTCCTAGTATTCAATTTTAACTTATGTAGATAAAATGATGGATGGTACAATGAAAAGATTAAACAATGGCTTATGCTAAAATTGCTTATTTTCTTTTTATGCATATCAAATCGGTAATGAAAATTTTACTGATAATAGTAAATTATTGAATAATTCTCAATCATCACTCACCTCATTTAAAGTCTAATTTATTCGACTAAAATAGGAACGTATTCTATTTTTTTCAATAAAATAATTGCAATAAACAATTTGATGCATTTAATTTGGCTGAAATTTGATACTAAAATTTTTTAAAATTTCTTCAATAATTTTTTGCTAGATTTTTAAATTTACAATTACTTCCAAAAATTCATTTAC